GTCCAGTGGCCACAGAATCCACCGAGCATACGTCAAGGTTAAATTTTACACAAATAAATTTACTGGCAATGCGTCTCTTTTTAAATCTCTACAGACCTTACTGCAATGATATGATTTAATGAATGAGAGGGCTTGGCTCATCAGTAGTGAAACCTCTCAGCGGTTTCGCCAAATTAATCTCTAGACCGCTCTACTATTGTATTGGACTGGTTTTGTTATATACCCTGCATTTTCTATGGAAGGCAGCTAAATGGTGTTTAGTGAACTATGGACATAAGCTTATAGGTCTGTAGAGGTACATACATATAAATTTCAAGGTATTGCATCGAGCAAAGCTCTTCCGCGCAAAACATGTTTTCATAACCATTATATATTAGTAAATTAAATTTTATTGCCCTCTATCGTTAAAATTTTACACAAATAAATTTACTGGCAATGCGTTTCTTTTTAAATCTCTACAGACCTTACTGCAATAGTAGAGCGGTCTAGAGATTAATTTGGCGAAACCGCTGAGAGGTTTCACTACTGATGAGCCAAGCCCTCTCATTCATTAAATCATATCATTGCAGTAAGGTCTGTAGAGATTTAAAAAGAAACGCATTGCCAGTAAATTTATTTGTGTAAAATTTTAACGATAGAGGGCAATAAAATTTAATTTACTAATACGTCAAGGTTAGTATATCACTGAAAAGTCGAGTGTGGAATCAGCCGTGTTCTAGTCTTAGTTTTCCTCATTCAAATGGACCTGACGATAAAAGCTTACGTTAGGTAGGGCTATATACTATGAAAAGGAAATTCGCTGTATTAACCGTTTTTAAGATTTTTGAGTTTTTTTGAAGATAGATACTGCCTGGATGGGATCAATATTATTATATGAAATTAGTCATTTATGCCAAATAAATCTTCAATACTTGTTCAGAAATAAACCTTTTGATATCGTCAAAATGAAAGATTTATTCATCACATCAATGAAATTAAAAACTACTCTAAAGAGAGCCGAAGTGTACTCTTTTTCTAAAAAAAATATCAAATTAGCTATTAAAAAAATCTATTATTCTATGAAAAATTAGGTAGATTTTTTTCAAAGTTAAATTTTGAAAGTGCATTGAGTGGAAATTTTTCTCTAATACCATTATTAATGAGTGGAAAGATATTAAGCTATCATTTTAATAATTAATGAGATAAAAGTTGTATATTTTAAATTCCTATTAGGCTAACCCATACTGAAGGTATATATATATCTATGTATATTAAAAAGAGCAATTATTTCAATATATCATAGGGTTTAACATATCATTATACAATATATCATTGTTCAAAACTGTTTTTGATTCAATTTAATTTTAACAATATTTTTAATGATAAAGCAAATAGAACACTCTACCATTAGGTTAATTGCTTTTGGAAAATAATCCATAAGATATACATTATTTACTAATCATTTTTGCATCCCAATTTTTAGAAAATTTGTGACAGATTATTTTGTCAGAGGTTAGTAATATTTGATATCAAGCGATATATTTTATATTCCGAATTTCAAAAAGCTATATAGAATTTTTGATCAAAATAACAAACCTAAATCTTTTACGAAAAAAATCACATATTACTTTTAAATACATATTTTCAAAAATAAAATCAAAATATTTTAATTTACTTTATTGTTTTTCTAAATTTATCGATGTTTTCGGAATGTTAAAGCAAAATAATATTTTAAATGCTAAATTAATTCCATTATAGAAAAACACTAATGCATGAGTATATCCATTTAATCTTACATTTTTAAATTGTTGTTAAAATACATTTGGAAAAAAAAAAGATATATATCAAATAATTCGTATTTTTTAATTAAATCTTTGAGAAATGCAAACCATCAATCAAGTATCAGGCATGCAGATTTGGGCTCCATTTATTCGGTGTGAAATAATTGAATTTAAAGCGCAATTCTACATAGATTTGCGTCATTACCCAACAACTGTTGACTGTAAAAAAGATAAAATCTACATTTAGTTAGTACTTTATTTTTTGTAATTTAATGTTATTCGAATTTCCAATGTTTGTATTCCAAATTCCTATAAAATTCCTTCTATTCAGAAACCTTTTTATTTGTCTATATTGATTCACTAATGAAAACACTCTAAATGTGTTGTATATACAGACCTAAAAAGATCATTTACATAATTAAATAATGTGTAAAGTAAAAAAAACTTGAATATATTATATACTATATTTTTTTAGAATAAACACCTTTATATGTATAAATTCTCTTTTGGTATATTATTCATTATACCAAAAGGAAGTTTTTAAATGTGAAGTTTTGTTCGCTCATGGAATTTATAGTGATCTATAATAAAATATTTCCTTATTTTTAATTCTTTGAACAAACATTTTTTAAAATATTACTAATAGTGATTTTTTAAGTTTTACGATTCTGATCGAATTGCCTCATTATTATCAAGATTTAATTAATATTTTTAAAATATCCTTATAATTCTAAACAGTAGGACCTCCCTATAAAAGACACCTAATTGTAGAGACAAAGTGTTTTTAGGGAGAGGTGTCGGAGTGGTTAACGGAGAGTTTCTAAATTGTTAAAATGGTAATTTTGCAAATGAAAACTGTCCTTTGTGGAGAGTCGTCCGCTGAAGAGAGGTTTTACTGTTTATACGAAACCAAAAATATAGAGTTGTAGAGTTTTCAACATCCTCTTTCTAATATATTATTCTATAATTTTCGATCTATATACTAAACTGAAAAAATATATATTCTGTCAATTTGGAAGCTCTAATATTTATTTTAAGAATATATTCCTGATGCAAAAACGACACAACTATAATTATAATGCATTTCATAAACAAGATAAATTTTAATTATACTTAGAAATAGCTGAAGTTCTAAATCCGTTCTTTGAACGTGCAGTCAGCTTGTAGAATTATTATATTTACATCTTGTAGTGAGATATTCCATGTGCTGATTTGCTTCCATTTTTAAGTTCAAGAAGACAAATGCTGTAAATATGTGAATATTTTAAAGATGGAGCATTTCATAATACCGTCTATTAATAAATAATTAGCATATTTTGGATCAAAATTAAAATTTATTATATAACCAATATATGCCCACACGTGATTTAGTTTGAAACAAAGAGAAACCTGGATAAAGAGAGCCGTTTTGCCCCTCGAAATATTGGTTAACAATTTATTTTTCATTGTACGCTAACCTAGGCATAGTGGATTCTGCGGCTAATGGACATACGTCGGATCTGGGGGCTGTTGTTGGGCTCTGTGCTGTCTGGAATATATGAGCTCCATCTATGTAATGAAACTGTATAAGACCGGTGGTCTTAATAAAGCTCTATATATCTGTGTAAATAATAAATTTAATTTTACGTTTAATATATGCTCATATGTAAATATATGAAAATTATGTAGATAAATGGAGTTGGTGGTGCTGATGAAAAGAGAGTTAATTTTGTCAAAATAATTCTTATCTTTAATATGAGGCAAACAATAGATAGAAAACACTACATAGATAAAAATAAACATATTGGTGGCAGATATCCACTGAAGATGGAGTGAAATTTCTATATACAATGCGTGCTCGCCAAAAGGTATCCTGTCCCTCAATTCTATCGTGAATGAATACTTTTATACTATAGGTTGAAATTCTCTGAAGAATATAAGTAATAGAATCAAAGCATGCGAGGATGCGTATCTTATAAGTTTTAATAAAGGCGAGCTTTCGGGCCAATAACCCTTTTTCAGGACATCATATCTGACTGATCTTGCATCTTATTTATATTGGATATGTATATAAGATGCAAGATCAGTCAGATATGATGTCCTGAAGAAGGGTTATTGGCCCGAAAGCTCGCCTTTATTAAAACTTATAAGATACGCATCCTCGCATGCTTTGATTCTATTACTTTTATACTATATTTGATTAAAAATATGAAGACGATTGTTTCCCTAATATATGATATGATTTTCAGAATTTTTCGAACATTCAGAATATTTAAACAAATGAAGTATCGACGCGATTAGAGAACAATCCCATATATAACAGAAAATATATTAAAACTTGAATTTCTATAAAACCTTGATATATAATAATCCTGAAAATTAAGCATATTTATGAAAATATTTTTCCACTTGTCCAGCAATTTAGCAAGTGATTCGTCAAATGAGAAGCCTATTATAGATGACTATCCTATTGGTAATGTAGCGAATCTCGAATTTCGGATTTGAATCCATTACAGAAATATTTTTCTTAGATTCATTTATAAAATCTAGGTTTGGTAAAATTAGGAAAATACAAATATTTTGTTAAAATACATGTTTCTATATATAGTTAATAAAAATAATAAAATATTTTAACGCTATTTTTATTTTGAAAATATAAATATGATTAAATATTTTCTACAGCCCCTAAGGTTGAAGACTACTTATAGAAAGCGTATTGAGAGTAAAAATTGTATTCAGTAAATATTTATGTTGGCTTCAGAGTAATTTGGATATTGCTTTAATATAGTTGTAAAATATTATTAGAAAAAAAAATTGTATTTTCACAAAAAAAAGGCGATGGGAAGAATAAATTGATAGCACGTTCCCAATTTCAGTCAGTGCCGATCACGTTCCTTTGTAATCCACTCTGTGAGTCCTAAAATAAAGCGATAAAATATTTAAAGATGACTGGCTACACTGAACTATTGACTGGCGGTAGCAGCACTTGTTAGAAATGGAGCTCTTTTCGCCTCTTTACTCTGTGGTCTTAACTCTGTGAAATAAATTGATTTAATTTTACTTATACTCATATTTAAACAAATGTTTATAATACAATATAATGCGGCTTATGATTGTAAAACGACGTTTGACAAGTTTTAACGCAAATGTTTTTTTAAACGAAAAATCGTCATTTTTTTAAAGGAGAAATAACAACTATTTCTATCCTTAGGGATGAAAGGATAAATTGTGAAGAGTAATGAAAACAGAAAAAAATAAAAGTGTCCAGCAATGGGAATCGAACCCACAGTGTTCCGCTTACCGGGCAGATGCCATGTCCACTAGGCTACCCTGGACGTTTATTTCCGTGATAAACAAATGTTTATTATGAGAGAGAATTATATTTTCATATAGATAAATACTGAAATTGATATTTAGATAATAATTGAATCTGTATTTTACCATACGCATAGTCTTAGTCTAGCAGTTGGACCATCATGGTTTTATTAAAGAAGATTTGAACCAAATTCATCCTATCTCTAGTCAGAAATTATCTCTAAAATATACCAAGATTATTAATGCTTTAAGGTGAACTGTGACAACTCTACGATGTCAAAGGTCAAAGCATTCTAAGTCTTCTGTACGTTTTAAATCAACCGTAACAAGAATAATTAAGAAATTTGAAATTACCGGTATTGTAGCAGATCTCCCTAGATAAGGAAGACCACATTCTGATACCTGTGAAACTAATATAAACCTAGTTAAAGCATCTTTAGAAGCTCGTCCTTTAAAATAAAAAAGGAGGTTGTAACAAGAGCTATAAATAAGTTTATTTGCTAACTGTGGATTTATATCACAAACTACACATATATCTAGTCTAATGCGTAAATAATTCTTGAATATAAGATATTTAGTACTGAAGAGTTCTGCTTATGCAACCAAGAAGATCACAACCCTGAGCATATTTTAATCCGGTGCCCACTTATTGCAAATTTGAGAGTACAATGTCAAATGAACAGTTCTAGTTTAAACCAAATGGTTTCCAGTGAAGAAGAATATAGAAAATTTAACAAATTCTGTAGACTCTATCTCAAATACCGTATATCTGAATTACATTAAGAATTTAAATTTATAGTTTTAATTAGTATAGTTTTTTTAATTGCTGTTATTGTTTTGGAATGTTCTATATGTGTGCCATTGGTTTATTGGATGTAAGTCTAAAAATATATTGGACTTTTGATAATATGTTTGTAAATAATATTTGTTTTTCGTTTAATATAATGCTCTAAAAGGTAAATTTAAATAACTTTCACTCAATCTCTCTAAAACTAAAATTATTTGTATATATATATATTTAAAAACTATGTACATAAAATAGATTAAATATTTTCACGCAAATATCCACATAGGATATAGCGTGTGTTTTCTAATAAATAATAAAAAAGTTTTTAATTTTCGATGTATCGTAAAAATCTTAATCCTTATCAGAATAAAACTAAAATAAAACATTATAGAAATATTATTTCTAACAAATATGAATGCCTGACAGGCAACCTCTATGTGAATATATCTATAGAATCCATGATTTGAGTTTCGAAAAATACATATATATATACAACCTTTTGAAATTCCTCCGACACAACTTGAATCATTATGTCATGTGTAAATAGAAAAATATAAGGCTTGTCTAGAATATTAGTCTATATAAATTATATTTGACCAATATATATTGAAATATATAATTCTAAAATAATTAATTACCAATTTGAAACTATTAGGCTCAATATAAATTAAACTAAGAAATGGACGCCACAAATGGAATTTACTCTAATCCCTTACGTGAACCAGATCCTACTAATTAGGTGGTTTCAATTTCAAAAACGCTAATACAGGATTAACGTATAATACAGGGAAGGAAACCCGCACAATTAGCTTTTTCCTCTAATTTACCAACGGTGGATTATTTAATTACCTTGTTCTCATTATATCCGGTATTAACTTTCTATTAAATTATTGTATGGGAAACTTTTTGTTTACACATACTGCAGCTTTACTTCCTCATGTTATTTCTACCAGAGAGGTATGCAAATAGGATTCTAACAACGTGTATATGCAAATATTAAAATGAGCGTTGATATAAGTTTATATCGCGAGTATGCTTATATAAATTAAATGTGAAATGAATAAGGTATATTATAATTATCGCAAATTTATTTTCGCGAAAAATTGTAATTATTCATTTTATATTTGGCTTTGATGCTCTTGATATTATGAATAAAATTATATCTATGAAAATGAGGCAAAAATATTCCTTTAATTTTTTGTCATCTATTCAATATATTGAAATTTTATCACTATAATATTATATATATATATTTATATTACGATGCACTAGCGCGCCATCTGTTATCAAATTACGAAACTATTTTAGACGCGTAATATTCTTTTAAAAATAAAACAATTTCTACTGCCCTTACTGCAATGTAAAAATTAAAGGGAGGTCCTTGCTCATCAGTGGTGAACCCTCCCAGCGTTTTCGCCAATTTAATCTACCGCTTAGAGGGTTCACCACTGATGAGCCAGGCCCTCCCTTTAATTTTTCCATTGCAGTAAGGGCAGTAGAAATTGTTTTAATTTAGAAAGAATATTACGCGTCTAAAATAGTTTCGTGATTAGAAAATATAGCAATCCATAAATAATTATTTAATTAACGAGGCATATATTGGATCAAAATATAATTTCTTTTATCAATATTGACCAACCTTTTTTAAGGTATTATAACATATTAATGTGTGTCAACAACAAACTCAGTGCCACATAACGTCAAAAGAATTAAATGACGATATTTTCAAAATATATTTCTATTGAGATAACGTGTATTATAATACTTTGATAAAGGTTGGCGTTCAGCCAACATAAATATTGGTAGAATAAATGATATTTTGATCCAATATATGGCTTTCTAATTAAATATTTTAATACATATAAAAATAATTAGTAATTAGTATTATAACAATATATTTTATTCACCAATATATCATGTTGGTCTCCATCGAATTGTATACTATACCAGATAAATATATATATAAAATTTTTCTCCCCTTTAAATATAACAAAATATTTTTAAAACTTAATGCTGTTGACGTTATGTGGCGCTGAGTTTGTTGTTGACACACTTTAAAATGTTATAACACCTTGATAAAGGTTGGCGTTCAGCCAACTAATATATTTGTAAAATAAATGGAATTTTTATCCAATATATACCTTTTTAATTAAAGATTATATTTTAATCAAATTTATATTTATTATTAAAATCATAATTATATAATAATATGTATATTTATTGTTAAGTTGAAGGTTCTTCGAGTTTGATTTTTGTATTATATTAAACGCCTCTCTTTCTATTTCTTTCAAATAACTGAATATATTCTACTTTTAACATATTTCGAAATTCGAGTTTATACTTTATAAATAAATTGAAACTTTTAAATATAAAAAGAAACTTAGAAACTTGATTGATATTTTAGAATTCAAAACTATTGGATATATATTTTAAAGTTTTATATTATATATTTTATATCCGTTCTCTATCTGAAGATTTATTTTAAATTTTGAAAAAAAAAAAATAATTTTTCTTATCTGTAGTATGAAGGAAATAAGAATTATTTAGTTTCGTGAAGTATTAAATAACACACACATCATGTTAATATTATAAGATTAAATAGTTTTTTTTTCTAGTATTATATTTATTACACCCATAATACTTTTGTTTCCATTAAACGTAATTTCTATCGAGTGGTGTCAAATCTTATATAAATAAAAAATAAAATTGATTCAAATACGTATATAAAACCTGTTAAACATAAGTATATATTGCATTTATATATATCTAGTGAATGTGGGTTTATATGCCTTTGGATATTTTGTGAAAATTTACTGAACACATATTTTTAAAAAATATATAATTCATATTATTTTTTTTTTGCTTATCCCTAGTACACGTGATACAGGCCATGATAATCATGGTGGGTAGAAGTTGGCGACTGCTTTTACTGTAAGTGCACCACATGTTTACACATGTGAAAAGCAGTTCGACTTTTCATAGTTCGAATTCATATTATAAATTAATATAATTCGATGAAATTTATAATGAATAAATACTTCATAAGTGTTCAAGTCATTGTAGTTATTCATCATTTGTCACAAATTGTTAATATTGTAAATTCCGATTTGAACAATAAGGGGAGGTAATTATTATAATTTCAACAATCTAATGATTCTATAGTGATGATTACACTTTGTACAAAAATAGTGGATGGTTGAAGACCATCTTTAGGTTTTTTTTTTTGCTTATCTCTAGTACACGTGGTATAGGCCATGATAATCATGGTGGGTAGTTAGCGACTACTTTTACTGTAAGCGCACCACATGTCTACACATGTGAAAAGCAGTTTGACTTTGCACTTACAAATGTGCCAGAGCCCCGTTTGGTTACTTCCACTCGCTGGTGGGCCATCTTTAGTAAATGTAGGGATATCCATGTTATAATATTATTAATTTTCTTATAATTTTTGAAAACAAAAACTCACTCACACGCACAAAAACACTTTATGGGATAATTTATCACATTTTTAACTTCATTACGATACTCTCTAATTGACCCTTTCAAGTTTATATTGTTCTTTCTACTGTTCTACAGTTTATAAAGTCCATTGTTTTCATAACAAAATATATTGTTATAACCTATATTATTTTCATTAATATATTTGTAGTGACACTTCTAGTGGAGATGGCATCTGCCCGGTAAGCGGAACACTGTGGGTTCGATTCCCATCCCTGGACACTTCTATTTTTCCTTTCATCATTACTCTTCATAATTCATCCTTTCATACTTCATACTTATACAAATAAAATTGTTTTATTTATAATGGGAGGATGAAGCTTCTCTTTCCATATAATGCATCAAAAAATGTTTTTTATTAATCACTCCAATGCATAAGGAAATTGTTTAAGATAGTGGAAAGTTAAAAAACATCAGCTCGGCCAAATACAGACAAATCTACACATTGGCTTTTATTTGATTTCGCTAGCGTTGTGTTTTGAAGCTTTCTATCACTGCGCATTGAGCGTTTTAACCAGTATTGATAAATAAATGCATCGTTCTGTTGTATTTCAAAAATAAATATGAAAGGATACATATTTGCTCAAATAATTAAAAGTATATATATTATTAATAATATAATACCATCGGTAAAATTATTTTTGAAAATATTAGATGAAGAAAGTGTTGTATTATCGTGATTATAAAAACAATCTTCCCTCAGAGAGAGAAAGAGATTGAGATTGAGAAAATGATT